ATGTAAGATAATTCAAATACTTTTCATTTACAAAGTCAACACGTTGTTTGCTAAACCAGTCTTCCATATCTGGAATGTCTTCAATTTGTTCAAATTATAGTGTAACAAATAGAAATATTCACTAATTCGATAGTGTACTTGTTTTTTATAGTAATTTTAATAGCAACACCTTTGCGTAAATGTTAAGATTCTGTTACTGTAAACAATTTCGCAACGCATTCGAGTCAACGTGATAATAATAAAAATTTCTGAACGAACATAAATTGGAGTTTACATAAAAAAAATTTATAAAAATTGTGCCCAATTTCTGTAAACGTTTAAACAGCGATAAATGTTTGCGGAGGAAACGGTAATCTGAGGGACGTGGATGAAAAATCAAAATACTGGACAGCGGTGTTTTGTATTCTTGAAATTTCATAAGCACGAGGCCTTTTTGTTTTTATTATCTCTGTACAAAAACAGTCGAAAAAATTATAGTTTTTATTTGATAAAGATTTAATTTTTTCGAGCTCACGGCATATGTACAAGCGGGAAATGATAGACATTGTAACCTAAAAACTAAATATAATTATACATTGATGTAGTAATAGATATAATAATTATAATTCATAGTAATTAATCGTAAACCTACTAGTCTACAGATTCGAGAGTGTACGTAACGTGTTCCTCGTGTCTGTTCCATGTATCTCATCAAAGTGTACGTGTACATGTGTATGTGCATTTGCGTCTTCAACGCGAATTTTGTTTGTTTCTTTGTTTCAGTTTTTTCTTTGACTATCGGGGGTAAAGCGAATTTCTTTTATACAGAATTTCCTCGAATAGATCATCTCGCTCGCAATTAGTTCGCATGTGTGGATGTATTTTATTTTTTTTTTCTTGTGCACTGGCCAACAGGGCCGCTGAATTCGGATCTCGATGACCTTGGGTCGATGTCTTTTTCTTTTTACAAATTTTTCATTCGTCTCTCTAGCTTGCACGTGTGTTAAAATCGCTATGAATTCTCTCTAATCAGTACAATAATTCGGCATCACAATTATTATATTACCACGATGGAACCCACGGTCCAATTCACCCGAGTTGAGCACCCCTGCCGGGCCTCACGCTCTCTTACTCTCCATCCCCCGTTTTCTCCCTCGATGTACTCGCAGCCTCTCTCTCTCTCTCTCTCATTCTCACGAACAATTCTACTCATCGCTCGGTTTTTCTTTTAAAACATTCTCTCTCTTTCTCTCCTTTTCTTTATCTCGTGCATTCTCCTTCCTGGTGTCCCAACAAAAGCATCAATTCCACAGAAAAGAAAAATACGTAGCATGTACTCTAATTTCACGATCCTTGTATAGCGAATAGAAGAGACGTATGCGTATAGTGAACTCGTAAAAGCAGCAGAATGCAGTCAAGATCCACAGACGTGGTTTTTTGCACTTTCTTTTCAACACTAGCACATTAAAGATATCGTGGGCCTGTAAAGAACGAGGAAAACCCCAGTGTACGTATTTACGCGTTCACTATAGAACTCTTTTACTTACTATACATCTCGACTCTTCTTTCTCGCAAGCAGAAACACAAACACTCGACTGTCGGACAGAGAAAGCTGAGGGAACGTGTATGAAAAATGCGAACGGAAGACGCATATAATTTCATGTACAATTCCAATTAAATGTTACGAGTTTTCATGCGCGCGAATACTAATGTAATTTCCGTATAAATATCCGCGCGCATTCAAATAAATGCGAGATTGTAAATAAAATACTTTTACACAGAAATTTTTACAAGCAAATTGTATTTGCATCCGCGCAACATACGAATTTATAGCTCTAAAACATGAAATAAAATAAATAGTTAACTATCGCCTATAAGAGAAGAAAAGAACAAGATAAATAATTCTCGCTTTTCCACGCACCATCGTTGTTAATTTATAAAGGAAATACATCACATGTACATTAATATCATATTTACAATTGTAGTAAAATCGGGAACGCGGATTGCTCACAACGATAGTACGCAACTGTGTCAAAATTTCAAATTCTAAATTTTGCGTCTATGTAATCTCCATGTACGATATTTCTTTCTTTTTTTATACAATTTCCATGCAATAAATATCTCCCGTTTGCAGTTTGCAATGTTCTCTTTACCCTTCCCTCCTCTTTCTCCCACAACCGCGCGTCATACTAACTTTTCCCACTCATACATCGCACGCACGCACGCACGCACGCACGTACACACACACAACACAGTATAAACGACTATACTTTTTTCTCATACAAAAAACACATTCTCTTGCTCACGTCTCTCTTGCACGAGTTCTCTTTCAAAGTTCGAATCTTGTTTTTTTATCGTTTATCTTGATTTTGTCTCGTTTTATTTAAAAAAATACTGAATTAACCAAGCTAAAATCACAGACTTGCTGGTGCCTTATTCCAGCGGGTTTGTACAAATTCTTCCTGAAGGACTCTATGTATAGTTACAAGATGTATATATATATGTATATATATATAAGTATGTATATATAATATATGCGTATATATATGTATATATAGTAATTACAATTCGCTCATGAAATAAACTCTCTCGCTCTGATTCACAATTTTTTTTCTCGCTGAATTTCCGCTTGTTCGCCCATTGCTATTGGATAGAATTTTCATACATTTCGTGTGCACGTGTATCGTTTGTTACGTGTGAATATAATTCGTGTGTATACGCGAATCAAACGGTTTATCGGATTAATGCGCCCTGTTATCGTCGGTTATCTTCTTTCCGATGGCTCGAAATAAAAGAGAAAAAGGAACATGATCTTTACAGCTCTTACAAGTTATATTATACATATATCGCCTACAGTCTATACGGTGTGCGAGATTTCTACACGTCGTGTCGTTCGACTCTCTCACACTTTCTCCGGTTTCGTCGAAACGACAGATTTGTCAATGGTCGTTCAGAGGGATACGGTTTGCATTCTGATCTTGGAAATAAAAGAGCGAATATTATCCAGATTTTCTCCCTTTTTGTTTCATACTCTGCCCGCTCTATCGGAATTTCGCAAGGTGGGTATGTTTAGCAATTTTAATCGAATACGTTTGCTTCCTGATTGGAAATTATCGCGGAACAAATGTGTAATCGATAGTGCGGTAATCGAAGAAAATTCGAAGAAATCGCGCAACGATCAAATCTCTTTTTATCGGATAAAATATTAAACAGTTTCGCGAGAATGCTACGAAAAAATACAACCAGAGAAAGGATTCGACTTAATGCGTAAAATGATATTCGTATACGTGTAAGTAATGCACAAAGCCACCAAAGGTTTGATCGTTAAAAGATTAATCTAAAAAATTCGTTTAAAATTGCCACGCATACTCTTGGACATAAACATATTTATAAACATATACTTTTAAATAACGGTACAATATAGGCGCGTATACGCGTGCCGTAGAATCACGAATACATACGCCTCTAATTAGGTCGTTCACACAGAGATTGCTTATATTGTCTCTCTATTCTTAATATAATCACAGACACGGTTTCTATAATTGCTACATACAGGCAGAGCCTTCTGATTTAATACCGAACGCGACAAATACCTGCCTTTTTCTATTTCGCTCTCTTTCTCACAAACACACTTCTTCTCTCTGCTCTCCTATTTTATCCCTTCTCACACGTTTTTTTTCTTTTCCACTGAATCATCGTTGCCTCCAAACGAACAACACTCTCTCCAATTCTTGCACACCACGATTCAATTTTTTTTTATTCCCCGGCGTATGCTCGCGCGAACATTTCCAAGAATCGTATATTACACCACAAAGAAAGATAACTTGCCGACAATACGTGCCAGAATCCGCTCGATATACAGTTGTTTTCGCCAAATTCCGCGTAAACCAGACGCCCCCACCCAGAGACACTACTACAACGAAACGATTATACAACTACATATACATATACGTGTAACATGTACGTATAATTTAATTTTTATCTGCAACCAACGAATCAAATCGAAGCTAACGTATGTGTTTCTTAAACTCTCAAAACTTATGGCTATCGATCGAATATTGCAACGACCACGACGTATCTTTCAGCTGTTTCGAAGAAAACAAAATTATTCAAATCGAATATATTTTACGAGTCTGTGAACGAATAGATATAGAATTGTTACCAGCGACCAAGTTATCGTTTAATGAAAATAAAATATACGAACTGTGGAAGAAAAACAAGTATTTGCAAAATAACCGCTGACCCGTTACCGTTGTTATCGAAATGCAAATGTTTTTTAGATCAAAGATAGTCACTCTACGGCATTCGTATCTCATTTACTAAAATTCTCATTCATACGTTCAACCATTCCCTGATTCAATCCTTTTGTCACGTCCGAAACACCAGAAAAGGTAATTGTACGGCACATGCACGAAATACGCCCTCCCTTCATGCGAAGAAAATCACAGTTCTTTGCTTCATATTTGTTTGTTTTCTCTTTCTCACGCGCGCACGCTCATACATACATCCTTCTCATTCTCTCCTATCGCTCAGCTTTCGTTCTCTCTCTCTCTCTCTCTCTCTCTCTCTCGTCCTGTCTTCCCCCACTCACGAAACAGATAATATACAATTTGACACAACATATACGTGCGAGTTTCTCTTTCTTGTCTACTTACACGTATATACGGCCTTCTACATACATAATACCTCTATATATGTACATATAAACTCGCGCATTTTGTTAAAGGTTTGTACGTATGCAGTGTAACGTGTGTTCTTATTGTGTCAACGATACCAACATGGTGGGCCGAGCTTGAGATCGCTCGACAGCCGACGGACCAATGAGAACGATGACGATGGGCGATCCAAAAACGATAATCGGGGCTGCTCCTACGATACCGATAACGCCAAACGAGATGTGAGCGTAGTGGTCGTTAACGCGTTCCATGAAAAGCTCCGGATAAATTTCTGAAGAAAATCAGAAATCGATTAACGGGTTCTCCAGAGGTATGTTCGACGACGTGGCAACAGAAATATGTATGTTTTCCAAATTGTCAGTGTCTTGGTGTCTGTGTGTGGCTCGGTGGTAATTTGCATTGACAGTGCGAGGTTCGGGAGAAAAAATCCTTGATGACCACGGTGATGATTCGCGAACAGAAGAGGACATTGTTCGTCTATTCTTGACTCGGAACTGAATTCGTTTTGCTCTTCCGTTCGATCCGCGTCCCTCGATGTTGTCCTTCGTCGGAATTGGGGAGAGCAATACCAAGAACATCGAAACACCAGAGGGCTTCAAGAGTAATCCGTTAAGATCGATGCATAAGAAAGTTCGTGGAAGAAAAGAGATTTGCGACGATAAAAACACGTTGTTGAAGTCTTCTCGAGGAAGAGAGGCTTGGTTTTGCTTTTCCTCGCTCCCAGAACAGAGGAGAGGGTCAGACTGGTTCGTTGTTCCCCGCTCCGCGTACCTTCTTCCCTTCAGGATTAACGGAAATACGCAGGACGAGGCTGAGATCAATTTGTCGGGCTGAGAGAGTTCCTCGCGGGGCTCGCCCATTTTCTTTTTCTTTGTCTCACTTTGCAGGCAGTGGTGGTCTCGCTGTGGGCACTGCTTCCCTCGAAGCTGGAAAAAGCCGGATCTTGTCGCGAGACACGCCAGGATGCAAGATGTGACCGCTGGTCTGGATTACACGTCGTTACGCGAACGCGCAGTATTCTATTCGAATATTTAACGATGATGATGATATCTTCCGCCATGAGGATCCGCTTTCGTACGATCAACGAAAATTCAGGATGACTCGCGCACGGTTGGACTAGAGTCAGTCGTGGTTGCAATGGTTACGACCCGTTGGACGACACGTAATGGACGAATTACTTCGTAAAATTTGGCCAAAATGGTTATTTGCTTTTCCTACATATTTTATACATACATGATATATATATATATATATATTTATTTTCTTTTTACTGTCGGCCTCGATTAGAAACGCACGAAAGAGCAAGCGACGCGACGTTGCACTGCTTCGTGAAAACTTTGATCGATGGAGTAGGATTGCGCGTTCGTGTACACGAGTAAAAATTATTCACACGACCAGGGTAAGTAAGAGCATGATCACATATCACGACGAAACGCGTATATGCTTTGATCAGTTCGAGAGCGTGATGCACGTTCAATAGAAATGAAGCGAGACGCCTAGCGTCGTCGTACCGATTAACTTATGCCAAAAAACGCTTCAACTGGAAACAAACGCGGCGATTTGCTCGCTAAACTGCGAATGCTCGAGCAACAACGAGTCTTTGCAACTCTCGAATTGTTGTTGCTGCTGTTGTTGGTGCGGATGTTGATGTTGATGTTGATGTTGATGAGGATGCTGGTGTTGGTGTTGGTGCTGGTGCTGGTGTTGAAGTTGGTGTTGGTGTTGCTGTGACTCGTCCGGGTCGGGTTCCGTACGCTCGTACAAAACGCAGATCGATCCATTCTCTCCGATTCTGTACGATACTTCTGATGGATCGATCCACATGGTGAGCTCGCTTGGGAACAAGCTGTGCAATACTGTGGGCAGCAGACCAACGTTCGCGCCTGCCTGCGCGATTACCGGATCCATTTTACCGTTGATACGTATGCAACGGTAACCGGAACCACGATTCGGCCGATCTGGGAACCAATGGTCCCTGTAACGATGACGCAGCACCTCCGTTAAAGAGGACTTGAACATTTCGAGCTGACGCTCCGACAGCTGTCCCGTCTGAAGACGCAGCAGATGTACCAAAAAATCCGCCGCCGACACAATTTCTAATCTCATGGCTGCTGCTATGCGATGCAACCCAGGACGAACGAGTATGATAAAACCGTTGACGATATATTACACCAATCCTCTTTCGCCTCCACCTTTTTTTTTCTTCTCTGGCGATGTTGCTAAGAGAGTCGATACGATCGAAAGGAAATACTGTTTCTTCCTCGACTTGGTGGGTCACGGGACGAGAGAGGCCGTTGTTGATCGCACGACGCGCACAGCAATCTTCACAAAATGGCGTCGTGGCCACGTCGCACGATCGCGCTTAGTATTCGTTCGTCGACGCTCCAGCGCGAAAATGAAATACCGATCGGTTTTAGATGATTCTTTCGCGAATACGGACGATTTGGCACCAACGGCTCGTTCGTTCGACGCGAAAAGCTTCGCGATGGTCGTTATTTCGGTTTTACGTATCCCCAAATTCGTAAGGACGGTCTCGCTACACCGATGCGATAATTCCTCGTTAGTTAAAAACGACGCGTTTCGAAATCTTTTCGCTCGTTAACGCGTTCCAAAATCGTTTCTTCGATAGCTGATACGCCAAGCGAGCGAGTATCGGACAAGATGGTGGATTAGAAAACTCGTACGATTGCAACGGCGCGGCGTTAACCTTCCTTCTTCTTCTTCTTCTTCTTCTTCTTCTTCTGTTCCACGATGTTTCACTCGGTACACTTTACAACCGTCGCGGAAAAAACTTTCTCGCGAATCCTACACCGACGCACCTTTCTCTACCTCGCGGAACAACCGCACCCACCAATTGCCAACGACTTTCTAGTGGCATGAACCGTCGACACGAACCAAGTAGCTTTGTCTCTTTGTTCGCGCAGACCGGAGCGGGGATAGTAAACGCTCTCCGATTCGACGATTACGATTCCCACCATGGCCGACGGTCACGTGTTCACAATCTGCGCGTTCTTTGCTGCGCACGCGTCTGCAGCTGCGTCCCGAATACGGATCGTCTGCGCGAGCAATGGTTCTCAACTGGTTTATATACCAAACTCATCCAACGAGTGGGCGATTTTCAAGACAAAACATTTTACCCCCAAAAACATCTTACGAACGACAGTTTGTCCTGCAAAATTATTAAATACGATAAACTGTTTCTTTTTTTCCCCGGAATTTTACAGGCTTCGTGACGACGTCTCGTAGGGGTAACTAAATATCACCGGTAATATCACGGGAAGTCACAATACCATACTTCCGTTGATAGATGGGATTTTTTGCACAGCACAAATGTCTAAGAAATATACATATTACGTTCCGTGTAACGTAACGCAGTTAAAAAAAACAAGTTTCAACTAGAAAAATGTGTAATTTCTATCGGAAATGAAGCAAATCTTACGACAAAATTATTCTAATCGATGGTTGAAACTTTTACTGAATATTACGTTACTAATTATCCCAATTTTTTCTATATTTTTGCTCTTAAACACGCTTTCGCTTTAAACTGAATTTAATACCATTTCTATCATTAGATTAGGATTGTCATTAATAATTGGCTCCATAGTAACGACATTACAATTCCAATACTAATGTATTCAAGAATCGTTTGCCTTCAAATATTCAATACACATAAAATATTGAGAAATATTCTCAGAGTTTTACAGAAAGGAGACTTTGTTGTTAGAATGTTGCACCGAAAATTAGTCAAACTTCTTGCAGGTTACATTGTATATGATAAATAAAATATAGAGATATCAAAGTACGGTGTTATACACGATCGTTTGTTTATGGCAGTAAACTTGGAAAAATAAAAATGCATATCGTGGAAACGAATGTCTCGATCTGTTGCGAAAAACTTTTACAGTATGAAATTCACAAACTTCATTTGGCTCGTGTTTCCCTTTATTGAGTTGGAAAGCGCAGAGTTTCGGGTATCGATTTTCTCACAATTTCCCCCGTTTATTTCATTCTACCACCGTTGGATTATTCCCCCGTCCTGGCCGAGCCTGATAAAAGGATACGTAAGTACTACAGTCTACGTACCCGATGGCCGAGGGTGATTTGCGATCTACGATCCCCCGATGAGCATTTTTCACCCCCAAAAGTTCGGCTACATAGACCGAGAGAGAGAGAGCGCCTAATGTAATATAAAAGTAACGCAGACGACTAGAAAATACATTAAACGTACTGCAAGGCCGATTTTGAGAATCGTACTGCCCTACTATCAAAAACAGTTGGCTGCCTGCTGTGTGTGTAACCCTTTCGACCCCTACCGAGTCCCCTCGCTTTTCACGGATTCTATTTATGCGCTCCTACGATTTGAATCAGCGGTTCTCAAAGGCTTTCCGGTTTACAACATCCCCGAATATCATGAGTCATAGTTGCAAATGCTTTTATTAAGGTACATACTACGGCCCGTACACAATACATACATACATGGAAACTGACCGGACGCGTTTAAAATAGAAAACGTTCGTATAAAATAGCGGAAAGATGCGAAGCCCATACATTGTATACGTAAAAATGTTTAACAGCCACGAGCGAACCGACCACTGGTGTAGAATCGAACGCGACAATGTAAGTACGTAGACCCAACCAACGTTAGAACAACTATGTATATCTTGTAAATTTTTTATTTATTTCTTATACTTTACATTGTCATAGGTGTTCGATTGCGAGTAACGTTAAATAATTTTCGATCGTTTCGCCAGCATTGCAGCCAGCTTCGTCAGGAATGTCGAGGACGCAATGTAAAATATAATAATAGTAATAATTCGAGATAAGAACGGCTGGCAAATTTTAATCGGTAACTTCGCGAAGAGGCCATTTTGAAAAATATTTGCTCGCTCGTTAAGTTAAAGTAAACCGTACTTTGTATTTGTTTCTGTATACATACATATGGGAGTTGGGATTTTTAAGATTTTCACACTCGAAACACACAAGAATTAACACATTTGCAGCCGCTGACGTAATATTACCTGTTTTCGTAAAGATAAGTTGCTGCTGACGTAATACTATGTCTTTTCATATTTGTAGGAGGTCGATGACATAAAACTACGTTCTCATGATTGCGACAGCCAACGATAAATTAATTTTAAACGGTTTAAAAGTGAAAGACTCTATAAAATTCGATCTGTAAATATAGTAATAATATATTTGAATAATGTTTGAAATCTTTGCGAGTAAATTCTTATTATTTCTATAGAGAAATATGCAACGCACGAATCGTGTGCTATCATTGTGTCTTGCACTGTACAAGTTTACATACATTTGTCGAGACATATTCCAACAGCAAAATATGAAAAATCGACGTGATCGTAAACCGGGTTCGATTCTGGTCAGTTATCCGGAGAAGGTACTACCGTCTTCTTTCCTAGAATCGAGCTCTTTTTATCTGAAATTGAGGACGAAGCACGCACGTACCTACTTAGGTACATATGTATGTATATGTATGTATACCGTCCAACGAGGAGAGAACTCACTATACCAAGAATGAACGACGACGCCATAGAGCAACATCGGCCGACGGCGAGCGATAATGCACGCGAGCGCGATGAGTCATCTACCAATGAAATTACCAACTTTCATATTTTTTAGTATACCTTCATGACAATACTATAAACGCAGATCAGTTCACGTTGAAACGAAAATACAATTATGTACCTATGAGCAACCATTTAATTTCACTTACCAAACATTTCTCTCTGGTAAATAGTTGCGTAAGTAGTACTTACCAAATATCGACCCACAAAAATTAAAATAATCAAGGAATATCAAGAGCAGATTAAAAGAAAATAATTACTTTCTGAAAAGTAAATAATCGAAAAATATCAGACCGAAGCAAATGAATTTAAGCGAATCGAGTGAAATAAAATAATAATCCCGTGTTAAGTTTTCATTTGAATAATTTATTTTAAATACTGTTTACCTGAATACGAATGCAACGAAAAGAAAGTTATAGCAATAGAATTCGAATCAAGGGCGATTATAAAAGGTGAATAGCGACCATTGGGAACTACCGTAATTAAGACAATGACGAAATTAGGGATACCTGTACCGCCCGCTCTGGGGATCGAGCACAATGCATACCGTTAAATATATTGTTAATAACTAATGGAAACGTGTTACGGTTCTCTGTAAATGGTAGTTCGTGTAAACGATACGGTTCGTAGGAGTGGCAAACAATAAAGTAAATTAAACTGTAACCAGGTTCGGTACAAGTACATTTATGCTCTTAATATTCCTTATAAAATTCGATATTTCATAGGCAGGAATTGAATAAAATTAAAAACGCACTTTTTACGAGAATATCGATAGACAAAAGCACAATTTAATAACCAAGGTTGTTATAATGTATAAAATAAGTGAAAGTGCTTGGTACAGTATGTGCAACAGAGCGGATGCGGAAATAATAAAACATGTATTCCAACCAGCCACACACGCTTTATACATATACGAAATCTAAACCGTGTTTCGCGATCGGCGCAGCTATATGTATAAATAGACGCATTTAAAAACAGAGAACGAAGTATAATTTAGAAATATATTATGTTTTCCTAAACATTTCTTACGACTCTTTTTCTGCATGAAGGAATAACTGTGCAGGTCGCATCAACCTTGGAATTTTCATTGCAAATGAATAAAAAGTATCATTATTCAAGTGTGTGTAATTTGAATTCGATAATCTATCAAACTTCCGAGAATCTGAATAATTCTGTGTAACAACACGATCAGTACGATTTAATTACAAAACTATTCAACGTACGTGGGTCGATTAAAGAGTCTCGGTACATTTGTTTGCGAAAAAATGTACAAGATAAGAGGATAATTTTTCGAGAAGACGTCGCGTCGCGTCGCGTCGCGTCGCGTCGCGTCGCGTCGCGTCGGTCGGGGCACATGTGCATACATCGTGAAACTAAAGTTGCGTCACGATCAAATAATCGTTGGACATTGTTGCGTAAAAGCAGCTCTCTCCGCGCACGTAGCCATATTTATCAACGGGCAGAAAAAAAGAGCAGAGCGTCCATCAAATTCCGTGTAAATTGCAATACTTTTCGACAGATTTCAATAATGTTACGATCGAAGATGACAATTATATTTTCAACAATGTACCGATTAAAATATTTATCGTGTACGTGATCGATGTGACTTCTTACCAGTCTGAAATCTTATTTAGGGAAGAATCTAAAACGAGTCGTGTGCATCGTGAATAAAAATTGTTTTCGATCACAGTATTTTCCTTCTTTGTAGAAAAGTAAACGTGTAAAAAGGGGAAAGTGTAATGCTGAAAAATACGTTTTATAACGACGAAAATATTGAGAAAGTGCAATAAACAATTGACGCGGAATATTCTTGTCATAAAGGAGATTGCAGTCGCAGTCGCATTCGCGTCAAGATTGTAACAATAAGTTTGCGCTGAACGTAAACAAAAAGCAGCCAAACGAACGAAACTTGATAAATTGCATTGTTACCGATGACGAAACGCGGGTCTTATGATTTATCATTTCGAAACCAAGGCACGATCCTCGTGCCGGAGGACTGCAAATTCACCTTGGCCGCACGAATCTTGCCACACGGCGGCCGGTTTTGGGTCCAAGAATTTTCTAATATTTTCTACAAAAAATACATTCCTCGTATCGTATAAATACAAATTTAATAGATTGTATTTCCTGAATGTCCATCAACCTCGAAACTGAGATAAATTAATGAAATTTAATAAACATTGCGAGTGAAATAAACTCTTCGAATTGAACAAATTTACCTACCGAACGACTGCAATTTGTTCTTGATTAATATTTCTTGAGATTTTCAACGAGTCATGATCGACGCAACACTGTGTCAAACGGTGGTAAAATTTATTTGTTTACAATAGCCATGTAGAAGAGGTCGATAATCGATCGAGCATGTTACCAAGAACATAAAAATAGAGAAAATCGGTAAGCAACACGTGAACGGGAAAACTATGGTTATTTCCAGTTGTTGTATTATCGGTTTCGATGTAACGCGGCCCCGCGACTGTGTCAAAAATCCATTAAACAGTGACCGTTACGTGGACAATTCCTTGTTAATTGCATTTACATAATGCAACGAGTCGCAATTGTCAGAACGGAGTTATCCCAATTGCGTAGCTGTCAACAACTTACGTGAGCAAGGATGGCGTTTCACATATTTTCTAAGTTGCAACCGGATCGATACGAGCCACGGTCGTGTCTATTATTAATCATTACTGATAATTAATATTTGTCAAAGGGACCGTCCGATAGTCCGTCTACGTAATGAATATTCCCGTTCATTAGCGAGTTCAGGATTAGTTGCGGATTGGAGATTAATGCGTTTAGTCCACAAGGTAGGCAAAGTGCTGTCCGTAAACTGTTCCTCTTTCCCGTCCTTTTACCCTATTAATTGTTGGATCTTAGCTCATGAATATTCCGGATACCCGCGCGCTTTTACAACGTTCGCATCTTTTTTTTTTTTTTTTTTTACGCGTACAGTCACACGAGAATTAATTTCCCATTAATTTCGAGAAATTTACGTCCGGTCGGTTTGCGTCTCGACGTAGTCACGACTAGAATCTAAGCACAGATAGTTTTATCTTCGATTTTGCATCAAGTGCTGCTGCCCGCCTAATTGAAACGAAAACCGATTGCGTTACAACAGTTCATCGAGAAAGGACCGCTTGCTTTTTTATTTCTCTGATCTAGAAAAACTGTTACAAATCTTATTCATTTTATGAGACCGTTCTATCCATATTTTCTATCGTTTAGAAGCATTTAAGATTAGGTTTCCAATTTTTACCCTAGGCTAACCTAATCTAGCTGGGGGATCTAAAAACCCTTCTGTTAATCAACCCTTTCCCTGTACGCTTTATAACTTGGAACCATAGAAATGGTTGGGATTCTTTTCTTTTTCTCTCTACATATATTATCTATATGTATCTATACTGTCTGTATTTCTACATACGTAGTTGATAAAAACGAATTCTAACGCATATTATACATTTCTACATTTACCAATTCTTCTCTAACTTTGTCATTTTTGCAAATATATACTTTAATATTTTAAGAAATAAGTAATTCTTAAACCTCCGAGCATTGAAAAGAGATCAAATAAAAATTTCGATTGGTCTCCCCTCCCCGCCCCCCAAAATTTTGAAAAAATGCATTTCAGTATGACAGATTTGAGTAGAAACAGTTATGCGATGTCCGTAAATCCGACGGTCTTAGGAAAGTGTAAACACTGCTCGATCGTTACCAACGAAATAGTTTAAAACGTAAACATTCGAGGAGGTATGAAAGACTTGATTTGCGAACCGTTTCGTTATGTAGAACATTTCATTCGTAATTCCAGGAGTTTGCCGTTGCCAAGTTGGCAACTAAGAGCCGATCAATAAACTCAGATTATTCTGGCTGGCTTCGTTCCCTGCGTATATGCACAGGCCTCCGGTAAACTTCGCATACATACATACTTTAGGAATTCATGCAACGCTAGCAGTTTTGCATTCTTCATGAACCTAACTGATGCACTTACCGGTTCTTACAAATTGCTGTTTTCCTCGCCGACGTGGGCTTGTCAGAAATTACGTATGGACTTGGACATCACCTGTGAAACAAAAAAACAAAACGGAAGTGGATGACACGAGCGTTACTTTTCGTTTTTGTGAAAAACTTTCTGTTCGACTTATAAACACACCGAAAACTAAATTTATTCTCGACGTTTTCGAGCAACTCGATTTCATTATTTTTCTAGCAATTGTACGGACAAAATTATTCTAGAATTCTAATAAGATTCTACCGAGGTTTTGTTGCATTTCAAATGCAACCTGTAGACTCTGTTTGTTCAAACAACAAAGTATAATTCCAATTCTGCAAATGTTTACTTGCTCCTAAAGACCGAGTATCGAAGAAATGTAAATTACGTTAAAGTAACGAAAGAGAAAGATATCGGATAGACCGTGTAAATAAAAAGGTTCCAAGCGTTTTGTTTTCTACAACGCGGATCATCGTTTCGAATTGAAACATGTTCCAGTCTGTTAACAAGTTACAAAGCGTTGACATTCACTCGTTTAATATGGTATGTGTTATCGACACGACCTCAATAGCGGCGAACTCGATATACATTAACAAGGTTCATAATATTCGACACTGCATTCTCTTCGCCTTTCAGCGTGATAAAAACCATCGTCGAAGCTGCTGAAATGATTTGTTCTGCGATCGGAGGCAATCCGGCCACGCTATGCGTGCAGGCTACTTACTCTACATTAACGCTAGTTTAAATTTACCTACTTCCTATTGATCAAATATCACAATTCTAATTAATAATTTTCTAAACTTTAAATTGTATCGATTAGATTGAGCAGAATTATTAATTGTTTGTAGACTTGAAATATAATAAAAATATTATATAGAATTGAATATATAAAATACAATAACCTATTTTCGCTACAACGATTTTATTATCATTACCGGTATTAGCAGGGGCTGTTACTATGATATCAAGTGATCGAAATAAAATATTATGTGTATAACACTTTGTGATCCGATCAATATTACAGAAATACTATAACGAACATAAGCATGGAACAAACATAGCCCCGGCTATGGTGACATTGTAACTGAAATAGTAAAATCGCGTAAGTAAGTACTTACTTAGGTATGTACACGTGACAGCGGCCGATGATGGCTGGCTGACAAAGTCACGCACACGTGACACCAGTCCTCGGAGCCTCGAGAGATCTATGCAAAATGAAACTTTGCCAATTTCTACCAAAAGAAATAACGCATCGGATTGTTTCCATCGCGATTTACGAATCGCGTACGTCCCTAAATTTTTTCGATCGGATCATCTATCGTACAAGGTGTTTGGCCACGCCTGGGAAAAATTTTAATGGTAGATTCTAGAGGGCAAAATAAGACGAAAATCAAGAATAGCAATTTGTTAATGGAGTCAGCAATTCGTTAAGAAGTTATTAACGTTTAAAGTTCCGTCCGTATTGAATTTTTTTCTCGAAAACGCCTATACCGTATATGTATAGGCAGCGATTTTTAAACAGTTATTTTATTTGTTAATTTTCGCGGGAGCGTCCCGAGCGGAACGGAATTTCGTAGAAACGCGAAACGAACGGAATAATTGTAACCCTGTAGCACAATGAGCAGTATGGTCGGTCAAACTTGCAAACTTGAAATTCGTCAGGAGGGGCACGAAGGGGTGCCGCGTATATTCAAATTATGGGGCGACCCTTCTCGAAAACTTGATGACGGGGAAGGGGGAAGGGAAGGGGAAATTACGGCGTGTAAGCCCCGCCGGGCTTGCTTCTCTAAAATCAATAGGGCCGCTTCGAAGCCGCGTGCTCGTGGCTACGGCTTGCAAAACTCGCTTTCAAAATTCCAGCTTGCCGACGCCATTCAAATAATACTCGAAATGATCGTCGAACGTGATTCGAGCAGCGAACGGCGCAAAGAATTACGAGAACGAAATACGCAGGAACCGCGCGCAACGTATCGTAAAAGAAGAGCCAACTTTTTTTAAGAGTTCCGTAGAAAAGGTTTGAAAACATTTATTTCGGTCTTCCCGGGTCCAAACTGGTCACGGAGAATTTATGGAACGCGATCACCGTGTCTCTAATAACAGATATCGTACAATTTTACAAACTTGTATATTTTAATATCGCTATACAATGGTTCGAACAGACTTTTATGGACAAAGTCTTCCAACGGAGTCTAATTAATGTTTACGAGCACGAAAAAAACGAGTTACTGGAACAGCGAACATGCGTTGCTAATAACGGCGGATGAAAAATTTTCAACCTTTACGAACCGTCCCTTTTTTCTTTTCTCATCGAAGAAGGATGCTTCGCAGCAAAATGCATTCGGCGAAAATAATTATAACAGCGATTAAAGCGACGCTTTGATCGAGGGAGACGATATTTTATAATTTTAATTAGACATTTCGATAGAAATTATTTAAATAAAGGAAATTAATCTACCCGCGTTACCGCTCGTGCCGTTAATTAAATACCGTCTACATGCGAACTTGTTAAATCGTGAAAAAACAAAAAGGGGCTAGCGTTCAACTAATATTTTTACGCGTTCCACGTAATTACTCTTGTACACGGTTTATTAACAATTCAGAGAAATACGTGCTTGGTCGTTCGTTATGGCAGGATAATGGCGTCTAACGTTTGTTTCATTGCCAGCGAACGAATATTAAAGAAAAATGTTGTGAAAATCGAGAAAAGAAAAATACATACATATATGTACAATAACGAGACAGTTTGACGAATACATTAAAAATCTTGTTACGTGTGTGTACGTATCAAGGCGAAAGGAGTTGCGAAGGCTTGGCGATTTACTAACATCAGGGCCATCTAACTGTTTTGTAGAACCATCCTACTTTTCTTTCAACACTCGCGCGGTGCTCAACTCGAAACACCGTCAGGCAAGCTGTTTCATTTGGAAATAGAAACTTGACATTCGCGAGACGCGGCTCGTATTTGGTGTTTTCGAGCCCTGTTTAAAAGATAAACGCGTAGAAATAAACATCGAACGACGGTGTTTGCGCTTAAGGGATAACACCACTGTAAAAACTTGAAACGAAGCGTTTTTTTGCTATTTTTGCCATTACGTCAAGTGTAGCAGATAGAAATTTGCGTCGGTCAAATTTTAAACTCGCATCGCGAGAATGGCGCTCCAGCGTCGTCGTCATTTTGCATTATGTTTGAATAAATCTTTTTTTTTTTCCAACACTCAACGACATGGTTAATAACATTCTTGAATGTTATTGTCCTCTTACTGCTCCATCCATCCAAAAGAAAATCGGAAAAAACGTTGTATTTCAGGTTTTTCGAGTGGTGTTACCCCGTAAAAAAATTTCCAAGATATCTCTGAACCCCGCAATCGTGTTGCAAGGGTTTCGAGTTTCCAGTCGCGTCGGTTTCAAGTTACCGCGCCCTATCCCCACGTTGTCGAAACGAAAGGTAGCTCTCGTTTGGAAACAGATATCGTCAAAAAAAAGACTCGACGTTCGGTCGTGATCTAAATAAAAATAATAGTCCGGAAAATTGTACAGGTTTTGGGTTAACCTAACCGTGGTGTTTCTTTTCGTTCCGTGAGACCAATGATCGTTCGATCGTTGCTATTACCTTGGTTCAACGAAAACAGGTGTGGACGAAGTTAAATCGGAAAGCAAAGGAGCGGAAGGCTAAGAGAAAACAAGATCTCGATCTCTTAACCGGTCGTGCGATTGAAAATGGGGCTCTTATGTGTATGTATGCGCCAGACGGTCGAAGGAGCCCAGCATCAGGGCCGGATAACTGTTAGGTGGAACCTCCCTCCACACCAAGGAAACTCCGTTCTACTTTTTTTCTTCCCCCCTCTTTTCTCTGACCATTGCTGCGGTGTATCGGAAGCGGTGCTCAGCCTATGCTACGAGCATCTCTGCAAAAACGCGAACAATATCCACCGAAACGGAATTTTCGAAAATTTCCCATTCGGAGCGACGGAACTTTCAAACGAATCGAAATAAAAACTACGAAAGATTATTTGCTGCTCTTTCTTTCTGGCCGGTCGAACAGAAAAAACGAGCATCGGTCGGACTTTCAATTTCCGCGGTTAAGAAAATCTGCGGAAGATGGCGGAGGACGCTAATGAGCAGAATCCTCCCGAGAGGGTTGATCCATCGTACTTACACGGTAGATCCGATCTTCGTGACTTTCTCTCTGGCCCGAACCTGTGCCGTACACTTTGAAATAACGTCGAATAGATTGGCGGCCGGACCCGTCTACTCTTGGAAAGTCGTTTGTTTTGTTTCGTTTCGCTCGTGCAAACGGCGGCCACTTTGATGCTCGATCCCAGTTTCAAACTACGCTCCTCGACAATTACAATCTCCTCCTGCTGTCCGTTTCTTCTATCCGCGCTGCCTCCGCGTCCTGGAGTCTTTAACTTAGAAAGTCCCGTTGATGATTTCAAAGGAGAGATTGCGGAATGGTCGGTCGTACTACGACCCAGCCTCGACTACAGTTTCGATATCGATCCGATTCCTTTCCTCGATATCGAACCGCTCCTGCATCGATAGACAGCTAAATCGATTCGAATTTATCGACGGCCGTCGCGAATACCGAATAACAATTTTAGATTTTCGAATCACTCGTCCTAAAAAATATCTCGTCGATGGATTATAATTTTCGAACGAATTAAAAATGTTTACTCGCCGTTCGAGAATAAAATTTGCCCAACACCGACGTCAAGATGGGTTTATTTTTAGGTAGCCGGCAACTTTTGTATAATTCGTTTGCAAGAAGACGACGACGACGACGACGACGCGCTGGGAATGTAAAGCACAGAAAACATAGTCGCCCCGTTATGATGCCATCGAATTTCTGTTTAAATTCGTGGCACAGGAAGGTTCAACGTAGCAAAGCCACGAATTCTGTGTGCAAATCGACTGTCGAAACAGGAAGAATGAACGAAGACGCGACGCTGTGGCGCGGCGAGGCGCGGCGAGGCGCGGCGAGGCGCGACGATGTGACCGTAATGCCAATCAAGATTACAATGGCTTCGCATACGGATAACGACTATATGTATAACTGCCCCAGCCTAAACTAAAAAGGCCTACGTCGAATATGTGTGCTCCTAACGTTTTATTGTTTTCCATTTCTCGTACGATAAAAATTAAACTCTTCCCGAAAGCTAGGTCTCGTAAAGAAATAAAGAGAAAAAGGCGTCGACTACATACACCGGGAAAATTACGATAAAGAAAATATCAGATGTCCGTTATGTAATTATCGATGAATTTAGAAAATGGCTCTCGATAAATGTTTTCTAATCCTTTTTCCCCGATACCACGGGTTGTAATAAATAATTTATTCGACGAGAGAAAACAACCTTCGGCCCTGAATTACCAGGCGAGTTTCGAAGAAGAATTTTCACCGAGCTTTCTCGTAAAGTCGTAAAATTATAACGATTCTCGTTGACGTCAGCGGAGAATTTCGCTTGTTTTCATCCTCGGAAGCTGAATAAAAATGTGCAGCCGAGACAGGGTTACAGATTTATTTAGCTTATCGTCGTTGTTATCGCCTGTGACACGAATCGCGTTAAACGACATTACGTACAACGCATGAAAATCAACCAAGTACAAACAAATCAAAATTTTCTTCTAAATTCTCAAACCTTGAACAAATAAATTCATTCGGTTATTATTTGATCGAAATATAGCGATCGATAGATGCAATTAGACTTGGAGTAAACTTCCTATTTGAACTTTTAATTGTATAATTTGAATAACCATTAAATTGTTATTCCGTTCAAATACTTTTGCGAGCCACTTCTGGTACATGTTTACGACAAATACGAGGGCCGTCTGAAAAGTTTTCAGCCTCGACACGAAGGTGGCGTTTTTCGTCAAAACCATTCTGATAGTACAATATATGTAGTATACATGGTATATGCTTTGACAAGTGTCCGTGAAAATTTCAGCAATTTTGGACGTTCAGGTGTTGTTTGGCAGTCATTTGTGTCGGTCGATGTCAGTATTTCTGTAAAGATGGAGAAAATCGAGTATCGTTCCATGATAAAATACTTGTATTTGGGCAGGCAATACGCCTGCGATCGAGGCTGTTTTTATGGGGGCTTTGCCCCATCATATGCCATCGTGGAAAGATGGCCAGCTGAATTTAAACGTGGTCGTATCAGCTTGGCGGCGAAAAACTGCGACCACCACCGATAACATGTTCAGAAAATGGTACTGGACGACCGTCGTCGAATCAAGGTTAGAGAGATAGCAGGATCTACAGGCATATGAAAAGAACGCGTTTTTCATATCGTATGTATTGGCTAAAGAGTTGGACATTGCCGGCCGCGATTGCTCACTTTTCACCAAAACCGCGATCGAATGGGATACGCGAGGAATCAACTACTATTTTAGAAGGGTTAAAAGAGTTACAGCATCGCTGAGAAAAAGTGTATTGACTTAAAATGACACTATGTTGAAAAATAAAACTACATATATTTAACCGGAAAAATACTTGTTTCTACGTTAGGCTGAAAACTTTTCATCAGACGACCCTCGTGTATTACCGAATTATTTTCAGGAGCCATCGCGAATATTCTAACGGGAGATTCGAAATTCCGTGTGGTCGACGTAATTAAATAGATATTACTCGAGCTGTGATTGTTGTTTTATCGCGCGCGAGGCTCGTTCTATCAGGATTTCGGTGTCCGAGAACCGCTTTTAAACTACCTTCGCGGGATCGTCGAGCGAGGTGACAGTTGTCTCGGTCGATGGCCGCTCATCCCCGAAGCCATTTCGTTCCAAAGGAACGGATACAAGCCCCCGTTGGAGGAATTTCGCAGGCAGAAAATTATCCCTCGCAAACGAAAATCAATTTCTGTTCTCGCTAAATTTCCAGAAACGTGTCCAATTTAGAGAAGGTCGCAGAGAGAGAGAGAGAGAGAGAGAGAGAGAGAGAGAGAGAGAGAGAGAGAGAGAGAGAGAGAGAGAGAGAGAGAGAGCGGGTGAGGATTTTCTCGAAATCGAAGCGCAAGCAAAACGAACGGGAGACCTTCGACACGACGCTACGTCGTCTTTCCCCTGTTATCAAGATGGATAATGCCGATAATAAACGGCTGTTTGGTGCAATGCGCCCTCCCCATCGACGTTCGTTAAATTATCATTCTGTTAAAGCTTTTTATTCCATTGTCTTTCGGTTGCCGAATAAAATGAGATAAACAACAGCGAACGAAGCGCAAAGTTTACCGAAATAAAAACCTGAATTCGATTGAAATTTGACTCGTTCGTTGTTTCTTTCGTTCGCGTGCAAGGGCAAAAAAACAGCTTGCATTCGAAAATATAAAGGATAGAATGCAAAGAGACGTTTATTTTTTCGTACGGTCCAAGGTAAAACGTCGCTGCAAAAATAAGTCGAAAGTCACGGGTTTGCGATCTCGAGCGGCGAAATAAATCGTGGAAATTTTGCTCTCGAACCGAGAAAACCATTTTCACGGCACACTCGATGGAGTGTTCTTGAAGTATATATTGTTGCTTGCACTCGCGCGGCACAGAAAACACGACTGTAAGATTTTTGTGTCGTCGAGAATACCATTTATCCTCGGTCGGTGAATAATCGCTCGTATCCCTCCTATCGATTTCCCTCCAAACCGAGATTTAACAACACGAATCATTTTACTCGTTTTAATTTTCATTTATTTATAATTGTCTAAAATTGTACTTTCTACCGTTTAGATTTTCTTTTATCAAAAGATTCAGATATTCTTGAGAATACTTTTTTTTTATTAGAAATTTTAAGCGATTGAACGCTTACCGATACTCTGAGAGTAAAATGGCGACCGAATGTTTTGAACTGTTTAGAGGAGTAAAATTGTTAGCGTTAATGTTTAAAGAATCGTTCGAAACAGATGTTCGGTCAATGTTCCGAAGATTCGATCGATGCAGGCCTTGAAGATCGGCTGCAACGAGCCGTTCGCATCGTTCGCAGCAATCAATTTTTATTATTAATAATTCGCCATTCACACCCCACGTGAGCCCATGACCTATTACGAACCCTTCTCATCTTTCATTTGCGTCACGTGTCTATTTTATGCAACCTATGTTCCTACAAAATCAATCTCCAGCCAATTTATTTTTAAACAAATATTTAAGCGACATCCTCATCGCGTTTAAGATATTTCAACGTTGATAACTTTTCCGTGACGTTGGCTGACAGAAATTTTCTATCGCGAACATTCCTATGCAAAAGAAACTATACATTTTCCAATGATTTACTAATAAAATCCACTAAAGGTAAATATGCAAAGTCGTCTATGCTTGGGGTAAATACTTTTGCCAATTGCTGTTACAAGAGTATTATAATATCACAAATAATTCGAGATATTTAACGGTACAGTTGATACTTTATATCATGGTTAATTATTAATTATGTAGTTCCTATAAAGTTGAACAGAGACGTATCATAGAAAATTCATTAAAAATTACATTTATTCGAGAAAATTATTCGGGAATATTGATATTGAGAAAATATCAGGAATCTAATAACAATTATAAATTTAACGACGAATAATTATTATTACAAGTCTCTGTTCTCGTTTATTTATTAACAGGTTGTCCTATTTTCCATAATCCGAACGCAATATGGACCCGAGAACCTTTTTCGAAAATGGAGGTTTTATTTAGGGAAGCTGCGCCTGCCTCTCGGATTTTCGACAAAGTGCTCGATGTTGTTGCGATGGCGTCTTTTTGCAATAGCTGCAGTGAAATGGAACCGAGGATGATGAACAATGGGCTGGAAAACCATGTGGACAGTTGTTTTTTGCTAACCATGAAAGGTCAGCCGGAAAAATGGAGGTGGACGGGTTACGTGGAACGTTAGTTCGTTCGTTCGTTCGTTCGTTCGGTCGGTCGGTCGGTCGGTCGGTCGGTCGGTCGGTCGGTCGGTCGGTCGATGCAGCTGTATGCAGGGCCGTGGCTGGTTATTTTTACGCCCTGGCCAATAACGCCGTCGCCTCGACAGAAAATAATTTTTTATCAAAAGAATCAGAGTAAATTTCACTGGTCAACGAATTCTAAACGATAATTTGTATTCTACGCAATTAAAATTATAATAACAGGGACAAATTACTTGGCTTCGGTTTTAAAAATATGCGTGTGTTAATAAAAAACACATTTTCTTCTTAATTTGCTACGTGTATTTTTTACGACGCTAAAACAAATAAAATTATTTTTATTATATCGAATAATATATTGTTCGAATGGCAAGTAATTTCTTCCGCGTTTATTTAAAGCTTTAAACTTCCAAATAATACATGCTCTGTTTCTTTGGTATCTGTTGTTATTGTTGTTGTTGTTGTTGTTGTTGCAGCGTCGATCTACCGTGACGTAAAAGAGGCCAAAGCCATTTCAGCGAGGAAAAACCGGCGCTGAGCATTAACCGTCCCGATCGATTGTTGGAAACACAATGGGCAACAATAAACGGGTCGGTTGGAATTATTTAACGGTATCGAACGGTCGGACTCATTGGCGTGCCATAATTGCAGCGAAAATGTTCGCGAAAAACAATTGGTAAGGGAATCGCGCCACCATAACATTCAGATTCCCTATTTTTTTCATCGATCAAATGCAACGCTGACCAAGCATTTTAACGGTACGTTAAACGCACTAAAAATAATTATAGAACCTGATGTAATAATCGATAGTTGGAATTCCGGGAACGATTAAAAAATTTCCCCATTTTTCAACGAACCCCTTTGTTCGCTGTTTTGTTCTTAAAAATTGTTTATTTATCTTCGTCGTCGACAAATATCAATTCGCGCGAGGAAATACAAAACCCACCAGCCCCAGCACCGCTGTAGATTCGCTAACGTGATTCATGGTTGCTCCCAAGTATTTTGAATTTAATTCATCTTCCTGCTTCCTCCGCACTTTTACTCGTCCATCACTAAGATGTATTCGCTCTCACCAGCAAAAATAACATTATTCCTCCAATCAGTTTTCTGTTTGATATATGTATGTATACTGTTTTGTATAGTAAAGTTTTCCTTTACCATTTGCTGCATTGATATGTGGACTTTCGTACGTAAGTAAGTACTTACCTGGCTCTCGTATTTCTCCTCACGGAGGTCGAATTCGAACTTGTTGACAACATTCACGAAGAAAATAAACATTGTATCGTTTCGAACGACAAAACGAGAGACCACAAGATTTCAATTTTACTGGGACGAAATTATAAAAATAAAAAATTAATTTACATTGTTCACGGATGGTGTATAATTTACAAATTCCTTGCAATCTTCGGACATAACGAGAACGTTTCAAACCCAATACATATAACCCTTTTGTATGTTTTAATTATCTTAAATTGGAATAGGACGAAAAACAGGTAGTATTTTTAACGATACAATGTTATAATTTCGCAAACAGAGCGTCGAAACGTACCAGTATAGAAAGTTTACGGTTAAATCGGTGTTTCCGAAGGTCTTTCGCTCCCCTCGCGTTACCGGAACGATTACGAACGAAAACACAACCGGGATTCCAAGCGGAAAGCGTCGGGTTAAGATAATGGCGACGATCCTGATTGGTTCTGAAAGGTGGCACGGGAATCGAAGGTCCAACCAGCATCTATTTTTTCACCGATTTGTATTCTAGTTGGCCCTTTGGCATCCTGCCCCGCCGCGAGTCCTTCCGGGTTATGTCGACATAGCGTTCGCACTTTATAATAAGTCATCGCGTATCTAGGTACATACTATGATCGTGTTCCAACGATCAGTCTTCTTCGAATCGAACCGAACATTTTCTCGATTAATATTTTCCAAATACTGGTTCCTTTTATTTAAAATTATGACCGTTGTTCAATTGCACGAGAACGAGCTTTCGAAAATTTACATTCACTCTGACAATTTCGTTTGCAATTGTTTTAAAGAAACATTTAGCTTTGATAATCGGGGGAAAATTGACAATTTTCAAGTTAAACGAACGCTGAAAAATTTACTAATTTTTACCAAAGTTTGATCGTTTAAATTCGAAATACTCTCTGTATTATGTACGCAACACTGACGTTGCACTATTTTGTCAATCACACGTCGCATTTAATTATTCCGCACTTAATTCACCAGCCGAAACTCGATTTCTGGCTATAATTTTACAGCCCCGGCAATTGCAATAATTCTGGTGGCCAACATAACAAGATTTACCGAAATACTATCGTGGCCCGTTAACTACAAACGCGTACCGCGAATAATGCACACATCGGAATTCCACAACTTTCCAAAAATCCACCCTCGATCTATGCACAATTGCATGCTCGATCGGTCAAATTGTGAAAGAGAACCAACCAACCAATAGAGAAGAATTTGAAATTAATTATTTTATGGAATAAGAATATCCGAAAAATTGATAATCAACAAATAAAGCGTAAATTGAAATTTCTCGCCTTCTGAAATTTTTGTCGGCCAACTCTATCTTGCATCGTTTTAGAATATTTCAAAGTAAAACGTTAGAGGGTCGAATAAAATTTCCCAAGATTTCGATGGAACAAAAGCGTCGAAAAAATTGATGATCGAAGCCTCGCTACGTCCCCTTGGCTTGAATGCATAAGTTTCGTACGGAGAAAGACACGGCCAATAAAAACTGGCGATCTTCGTTGTCGAAACGTCGAGTTTCGGAATCCCTTTCGTTGAACGATCATTATTTATTGTAAAAGCTAACGCGTACAATGTATCCACGTTGAAAATTACAGATCGGATCGTAATTCTGCAGATATACTGCGGCAACCTTAAATTACCCGGGCTACTTTCTCTTGATCGAGCCAGTTCGCCTCCATGCGAATACGACGCGTTGATAATAGCCCGATAAAAGAAAATTTAAACGGCCGTTAAAACTAAGGATTATGGCTTCGCTGGTAACTATACCCGCGCTATTTTCGACCGGCAAGACGCAACGAGAGATTTCCCTACGATTCGTAAATACATATTGTACATAGTTAGCTTCGAACATCCGGATTCTCGGGACGGAAAGTTCTTGGAACTTTTAACGACAAATTATCCGAATCCAACAATAACGGACAAAAGATTAAGAGAAATCATTTATTTCGAAACGATTTAAATATACCGTTCAACGTTCGGCACACACGGTTTGCATTTTCTTCTCCTATATTTACAAGTCGAGTGATCATCGAGCTGAAATTTCTATGACCAGACGCATAAAATAAAGACAATTACACAAGGAAACCGCTGCTTGTTATCACAGTGTATTTCGAGATTTCGAAATGCTACGACGGGACACTAATTGGATTTCGTCGTAAATACATCGTATCTGTTGACGTAAAATTAATTTAAACAAAAGTCCCGGTCTGGCCAAAATACCGCCTATAAATAATAATTAGTAATAATAATCGCTAGACACGAAGAAAATGGCAGAACGTTGTTGTTTTGCTCGGCCGCGAGGTATCGGAAAGCAAAATTAAATGCCTCGCGTTAGGAAATTCAAGCAGTTTCTTTTATAAGGCATGATTCATAAATGATGCAACGAAGTTTGGATCCTTTTTGGCTTGCATTTGCATAAAGATATAGATTGATTCGGTTAGCGAGCAAAGACGTGAAGATCGCGAGCCCGTTGGCCACGCGACAATAATCTGTTTCGAGTTTTCGACCGTACACCATCGAAGCTTTCTTTTTTTCTTAAATACGTAAAACGCTGTACGTTCGAATCGAATACCCGTACATCGGAATTATCGATAATCGAACTACATATATCGATAGTGGCGCGATAGACGGGATAGGGAACCGGGAAAAATCAAAGGCACACGTGGGCTTGTTGATTCAGCCTGTGACTTTAATCGTCGCTGGTGAGCCCGGCTTTTCTGCTAAACGCGCTAGAACGAGCTGCTAGCCAGCCGATGGCGTGGCTCGCTGATAAACGATCGCGACGAAACTCGCGAGTTAAAGATACGACGGAGTGGCAAATTGAAAAACACTTGGCTGCGTCATACGTGAGAAACGATCCCGGGTGACCGCGTACGTACGTACGTACTTACTTACTTACTTACTTACTTACTTACGCCCAAGATGCCTCGAGCGTCACGTAACCCGAGTTGCTGGAACAACATGTATCCTTCCGATACACCAAACGAACAAATTCTCAAAGAAAATTACAACTATTTCCACAATAATATCAAAGAAATGCTACGAAACAATCGAGGAATACATAGTAGTAGAACGCAGAAAACCAATGTATACAATTTAAATAAACTTATGTTTCTGCTAGGTCGCCCGAACAAAACACCGATGAAATAATCGTCAGCGCGTCAGGATCGAATCCGTAATATCACCGGAAGATAAATACGAGACTAATACTTTCGTTGCGTTTCTTCGATAAATTGTATCCGTTTCGTCGTCGTGCCCTCGTAGCGTCGTATTTCGAATCCGATTTCGTCGGAATGTGACGGGAATTCGACTTTGCTAGACACAGCTTCGCGCGTTTCGTATTCGGACGAACATAATCTCCTCGGTTCGGTGGCAAAGCGGGACGAGGATGGGAAAAATATTCGCCTCGAGCTCCGAACCCACGGTTCCTAGAATTCTCCGCACAATTTCAGCCAGGAAAGAAACGGACGAATGGCGAACGGCGAACGGCGAACGGCGCGGCGCTTTCCTTCCTCGAAACAGATCATTGTCGGAACCACAGTGTCCTGCGCAGATCGTGAATTATGAATTCGAACGGGGGAAGGGGAGGCTTCGAATATTTTTTCAGTTTGTAACGCGTGTAAAATAGTAAACTTTTATTTAATAATTTTCAACGATCACGCATAGATTAAGTAAATTTTCATTATACGAAGGTTCGTATTCCCAAGAAGAAATTTATTTTAAAAGAGAGATATTTTTTTCTGAACGCCTGGCGCGAGGAATTAAAAACAAAAAGGATCGTAACACCGAAATAAAGTTCCGAGACACAAAAGTCACCCAAGTATTCTCGAATTTTCGTGGCAGCAACATTATCGACGTCACCGTGCCGAGAGAAACGTTCATGTATTTTAAAAAGAATTTTGAAATGTAGATTTCCGGCGATCCGATCGCTTGAATAATCGATCCTGATATCGATTCGTATAATATCCCGTATACGTCAACGCGTCTGCATGGAGATGTGCTTTAGAAATGTACAATGTCTACCCGACGCTACCTATGGAAAATACAATTCCGCGAACGTTGGAACGCTTTGTTTTCCAGAGAAATAATGGAAAATAGTTCAAAGTTCCATCGGATACAACCCCACACTGATAACAAAGATATTTAGCGAACAGAGTAATTTACGATAATAAATTACAACGAGTATACATAGAATTATTGGCAAATATTGATTATTATCCGTGCTGACGGTACTCGATCATGCCCGATGTAATATTTGCGTCAGAACGTTTGTCGGAAAGCTAAGAGACGACAAAATATTTGGGATCTTATCTTGGGAGTTATGGCACTGCGCAAAAACGATAAGTATGTGGATTCAACCGTGAATTTCTTTTATCAAAGGATATGGAAATAATCCAGTTTAACGATATTCCACCACGATACCATCGCATCTCAAAAGAATCTCTTACGTTCGAAGAATTGCTTGTTGCAAAAAGAGACGTTTCTTTTTTAAAATACATATGTATCCCCTTCGCGTAAGAAAAGTGAAAAGGAATATGTAGCTTCGATCGTATCTATTTTCGACTGACTCTGGAGATTCGAGTTGATCACGCGTCTTATTAGGATCTTATTAGAATTGTGAACAAGTTTGCTCGTATGTTAACGGTGGGCTTGAACTCGAGACGTTTCGCCGAGGAGTGAAACGCGTAGAATTCTGGTGCCGTATCAAAATCAACTGGCCGTTCAAGGTCACCGAGGGGTTATCCCCTACCACGGTCGTTTCTCTGCCTCGTGGCTCTATTTCTAGTCTTCTCGCTCGAACCTGCGCCCGTGTGCTTTCTATCTCCCAAACGGATAAGCAACCTGGCACAGTGTAAAAGTAAGAATCATGGCCATAGTGACTCACGGCGCGGGCAAACAGCCAATGAGCTTGATCCGACTATTGTGAACGAGGCGTCGTATTCACGGTGGACCACCGGAATCACTTGTTGAATTAATCTAAGAATCCAAGAATCGATTATTGAAAAATCGAACACATTCTTAGTTCGTAGTTTTTGGTTCGCGACCGATTCCGGATAAACGATGGAATCGTTTTCCAGTTGAGAAGGCTGTACGGATGAATCCATGTGCATATCTAGACGAACGAGGAGAGAGGACGGAAGGAAAGAGCACCGGAAATTGGAAATGCAAACGTTGCGAGGCACCAATGACACGAGACGGGAAATTGATATTTTTCCATTCGCCGTACCGCTCGTGCTTCTTTTCCTTCTGCTATCTTCCTCCCTGCTTCGTAGAGGCCGATCTATCCTAGCGGCATTGCCGGAAGTGAAATTTTCTCCGCCGTTTCCTCCTCTGCCTCTTGCCTCAAAATGGCTTCGTTATCGATACATTTACCGAAAAACTCGTACAACCGTGATACGTAATTATTTTAACCGTAAAAGGCTAACGATATCTCATATAACTTGTACTTTTAGTCGTTTCGGATGAACGTTTCTTCGTTCTTTGATTCGTGAAAATTTCCTTTTCCTGTTGGTTCGGTCCGTTCGCGCAGGCGCTATTTGATCCGTGCCCCGTGCCCCGTGCCCCGTGTCCCGTGTCCCGCGTCCCGCGCCCTGTTGTTTGCACATATAGTTTTTCGTTACACGAGCGGACTAAAACGCAAACCAAGCGATAAGCTCACCATTCGCAAAGCGCTCTCTTTTCTCCCGTCAGGTTGTAAAAGATGATTGCTTCGATAAAAACAACCGCTCTTCCAGTCTATTTGTCTTTTACCGGCGATATCGGGAATACGATTCCTTTGGTTGATTTCCGGTCGACTTGCCGCGATATAGACGGAACGATCACCCGGTATACGTACTCGTTCTCAGTCATAAATGCTGGTGTCTCCACCTCCATCACCTCCATCACCTCCATCTTTCCTCGTGTCGCGTGTGGAAGCAGCCTAAATATACACCAATTAAATTACTAATAAAAAGACAATTCATTTTTACCAAATTTTCCAATTTTCTATGAAAAATCGTACATGAAATTAATTGCAATTTCAAGCGCATTTTGCCCCAATTTTCTACTTTTCGTGCATCGAGAGTGCAATTTTATCGGCCGATAAAAAAGCTAGAAATTATCTCCGATAATTTTGTCCATCTAAAATCGAAATTTTTGCCACTCGGCGACGTTTCCTTTTTCGTTAGAAATTCGAAAGGAAAATAATCTGCGTGCAAACGACCCATTAGCGGAATACGTTGAAACAACTTGTATTTCTGTCCTTTGGCGAGAAATTTTTTTTCAGTTCTACGTCGTTAAACCGGCGTTAACTGGTAAGCAGCAAGCGTCACAATTAAATTGGAATAACGGTGCGGATATGCAGGCACAGCCCGTAGTACATATATATATTCCACATTAATTACGAGAACTAAAACAACAGTACAATAGCTGTGAAAAGATCGTCGATGGAATGGTGTACCGATTCTTTCTTCAACGAGACGCTTTACAATGCAACAGGCCGCCAAAAAACTGTCAAATATGGGCAATTAATCTACCGTGATCGTATCTCGGGTACGTTGCACTTGTTTCGCTGGCAAATGAAACGGCAATGCGTAGTAATTCATGTTCAAGTACGAGTTTTACGAACAAAATAATTACGAAAACGTTCACGTTCGTTCATTTTTACGTGCATTTTAAATGTGCAAACATTTGTACAGTTTTTCTTGCCAACTGTTCCATACTCGTTGAACCGATAGCTACCGAACGGTAGTTATCAGCTGACAGGTTCTATTTCTTTAATAGTACGTCAATTTGTTTCGTGTCTACGCAATGTCTAATCGATAAACGTGCACGATATTTTGAAATTAAGAAATATACTTTGTAAATTATTCGTTTCTCGAACGCGTCACCCTGTCATTTTTCTACGCGGAATAATCGGGAGGGGAGGTATTTATTGGTTTATGTAAAAGAAAGACCCGCGGAAACGGTAATACCATAGGCAGTTGGACATTACGAAACAGTTCAACCTCTTCCTGTATCACTTTCTTCCATTGTCCATAAGAGAAACATGACCCGATCATATTGTGTGACTCACCCGGTAGGTACCGTACTGTATAAATAACCTTGTAAATAGAAAAAACGTCTCGTAACACGTAAACGAATTTTATTACAACTCCTCCGTTACGTGGTAATAATAAACAGAGTATAGTTTTTTAACAGAGATATCCAAATTTCATCCGCTTTCTTTCGATGCAATTATTATTTCCTCTCTCTCCCCCACTCGCTATGCTATTATGTATTAGGTTGGTCGACGAAGACAGCTTGAAAAATTCCACATCAGAGTTTACTGTTTCGAAATATCAGAATCTCTTCAAGACAGGCATCATCTATGCATTAAAATCTTGTCGGGAAAAGTGTATCGAAGCAAATGGAGCATATTTTGATTAAATAAACAGCTTTCGAAAAAAGATATGCAGTTTTTGATATATTCGCTTAAAAATCCGACATTTGATACGCACCAAGCTAATAATAATATAAATCAGGAGTCTGATATTGTTGAAATATCGTTGAAGGGAGTTGCAGGCGTGTCTCTCGGAATTGTCGAATTTTGTCTAAACGCGAGCGGAGCAAGAAAAAGGGAACATCGTAATAATGATTGCGCGATGGAAAAAGGAAGGCAGGCAGGCAGGCAGGCAGGCAATTTAACGAGGTTCATTTCCGTAGGATCGGTGGCATCTTTTTGGTCGAGCAGGGAACAAAGGAAAGGGTCTCCTCGAGATCTGGCAACAAGGGAAACCTTTCGGAAAGGATACACCATGATGGCGATGGTGGTAGGCCTCCACCCCCCAAAAAACATCTGTCGGGAGACAGCCTGCATAAGCGCACGTCCGTTCTCTTTCTTCAGAAGCAGCGTCCGTGCACCGTGAAAACTACCTACTGCTTCGTGAATGTTATTCACCCAAAAAGCCTTGATGCTCCAAGGCGCAGGTAAGCGTCTCGACCACGTATCTACCTACATCCTACGCAACTTCAAACCTACCGCCGTTCAAACCTACCATTTTGCCTTTACGAAGGCAAAAATTCTACAACTATTCAACTATTGGTTTCTAAAAAACGTTTCGAGGCCTCTCTGGTTCCCGTTTCGGCTATAATTATTTTATAGTGGTCGAAGAAATGTGCTTTCGAAAACATTTATGAGGAAAAGTTTCATGGTTACGGCCAAAACAATTTTTGAAAATTCCCTTTATTTTCAGCCCTCGCAGTGGTCAGCCCCCTTAACTTTACGGTCTGATCAAAATTATGGAATTTCGTTTTAAAAAAATAATTTAGCAAACTTTAAAGAGGTATAACTGTTGAATTACTAGATTCAGGGCATATGTATGTAAGTACCTTGGTACCTTTTTGTCGACATGAGAAAACTGCATGAAATGGTCCAATGCGGTTGTACGTTTTCAATAGGATTAATAAAATTACAACCGTTTTGGAGAATTTCCCAGTCGCGTGGCAGACCTTGTATACTTTTTGGCCAGATTTATTTGCGTTGTTCGAAGCGACGAGGGTTCCCCAGGCTGGTGAAAATTGCGTTTCGCCAAAAAATTACAGTCCCGGGTTCCATTCTTCCGCGGAGCCAGTTAAATCGGAGTACCGTAGGAAGTGGTACGTACTTACTTACCTACCACCATTCGATTTTCTTGTGGGTCAGGAGCGTGGGTAGAAGCGAGGAAATGAAACGCCCCGCTCACCAACCGCCCCACCCCATTTCGACTTTCACCCTGCACCTTCTGCATGCATTCGACTCCATGGAAGTGCACATTACCGGACATCTGCTGGGAGTTGAGGGCGTCCGTAGTTTTATCGATGCCCACTCTGCATTATTTGTCCTCGACGATAACACTCCGCTAACAAAAAATACTCTGATAAAAACCTACCGCCCGCATCCTGTATTTTCTTCATACCAGAAACCTCCCCCCAAAAATAAATAAACATATTCGACGCGTTAATATTTTTCGGCTTGCGTAAAAGTTTATAAACACGTTTTTCTCACTATTAAGTTACTTTTCCATTCGATTAGAATTCGTTAATCGTGGAACGAAAATTGATCGTAACGCATAGAGAACACAGTTGGATTATTAGAAAAGGCGAGACACTTGTTACGCTTTAAGTCACGAAACGTAGAAACGGAGAGCCGTGTTGTTAGATCGGACGGCTCTCATTCGTCGAAAACGCCACACCTTAAAGGACACTCCTACGAGAGATATCCGGGTCCCGAACGAAAGAACAACTGATAACGACTAACTTGAGCCCGATCCATTATCAGTCGAGAGATGGTGTAAATATTTGTGATCGTGTTCGACAAAAAAATTCACGACATTGGTACACTAGGATATTGCTATTAAATTGGAATAGCGTTTAAATAAATTATATTCAACTAACGGTAACGTTTTAAAGCGTCGTTCTGAGAAAGAGAATGACCACCGCTGACGAGACCATGACAAAATGGAGGTTCTATTTTTCGACCGTACCTACGCATTCAGGTTTCCACAGTGGACTCGCCTTGGCGACAGCGCTGATTCATCCGATGAAATTATGTGAAAGAGAAATTAGTCGTAGAAAAGCAAAACGAGAAATTCTGGTTGGCGATCGCGTTTGACGGGCTGTGGCGGACAAGATAATTCCAACGAAATGTAATTGTCTGCATAAGAGGGGGGAAGATCCCCTCGTTTGTATTTTCAGATATCGTTTCCATTGTTTCGCGTTTCTTTGACACGCATCGATTGGGTATTGCGCAACGAGCGACGCGAGGCGACGCGACCGCTCGCCTGATTGCCACCATAATCATCTCCACCCCGTTTCACAACATTCAAATTCAATCTCCGAAACAAAAGATTTCCCTTTTGCGACTGGTCCACCATGTGACGGACGAGAATCGTTTGTCCCTCGAGGGGGGAGACTTTAGAGGGCGAAATAAGACGAAAATCAAAAATATCAATTTCTTGATCGAGCAGGTTTCGTTAAAAAGTTATTAAAAAATTTCAAATCGATCTGGGAAAATTATTTTCCGTCGCGGGGGTCAATTACAGTAATTTTTACCGAATAGACACATCCACGAAATTCTACGTATACTATATTCTAGAAAATACATGTTTCTATAACTTTTTAACGAAGCCTCGATCAAAAAATTTGTATTATTGATTTTCGTCTCCCAGGACTAGTGGCCGAACACCCTGTATGTGGAAAATGGCGAAATCAAATAATTTTTGTTAGGTCATTGTACGAATCGAGCTTAGAAATTGTTTAACGACCCGTTTCAACAAACATCGTGTTCGGTTAAAAGGTATTATTTCGCGTGGAAAGTTTGAAAGAACGGTTGCATCATTGTCTGTCGTTCGACGCGACATTTGTAGAAAACGTGACGTATACATAGTATACGTTCAGTTTGCCACCGTGCGTCTTATCTCTTCCATTGATCCGATATCAGATAAAAGTATATGTATATCGAGTAAGGTACACCTATTCTGTATCTCCGTAAACGGCGATTCTGCCGTTGCAAATTGTACGTTCCAGTTTCCCATAGTTCACTTATCATACAAGCGAGAAAATATAGAGATCGTGTCTTCTCAAGTTTACGAAACGGGAAAAGAACGCGTCTAGTCAAATGCACGTAGTACGTGCACTTTGCACCGCAAACGTGCGGTAATCTCGCCCCCTAAACCGATCGCATCGAGACAACAGCGGAGCAGAACGAGCAATAAAACGAGCCAGGTAACTCGTACAAATTCCCACGTTATTATCAACGATATTACTATAATCTCACCGAACCTCTATCCGTGCTTGGACTTTCGACGAGGGAAAATAACTGGATTCCGAATGTTGACGAATAATTTCTTGTTAACAAATATTGAAAAGCCGTGAAACTAGCAAAAAAGGAACACATTGGATTAATAAGTTGCTTTCCCCCGACTAAACAGCAGCTGGCAGGGGCCAGATGTTGATCGTTAATGGAGCGTGTCGCGGCACTCGAAATTTTACCAAATATGTATCCCCGCAAGATCGAAATTCACGTACCGAATAAATAAATACGATCCTCCGGCGAGAAAGACGCGAAAAAATTTCAAAAAACGAAACGAAATACGAACGTGTTATGAATATTTCGACCATTATACGTGCTACAAATGAGCGCTGTTAAAGAAAAGTAGTCGATCAAGAGTTATCGAGCCAACAGCTCGCGTGTAACCATAATTTAATATAATTAAGCGATGTTCTTAATTAATGGTTCTAGCGACCGATATCGATGGGCGAATGATAATGCTCGGACTTTGAGAGATTTTTAAAACTTCCCTGATCATAAGTCGCGGTCCGTTGTTGATACAACCCGGTACAAATAAACAAGGTGTATAATTAAACATCAAAGGCGCGCTCTACTCGTGGTTAACCGTTGCCGGTTAAGCGGCAGTACAAGCACAAGGCTCTTCCTATTTTTAGCGATACTAGATAGGACGATGGTTTTTAAGTGCGCGCCCTTTGAACAAGTGGAAGAATTACACGAAGCGGGGCAGGCAGGCAGGCAGGCAGGCAGGCAGGCAGGCAGGCAGGCAGGCAGGCAGGCAGGCAGGCAGGCAGGCAGAGCGTCTGTACGCGCGAACGATAGCTGGATGACTGCTGGCAAAAGGGCGGTGAGGTTGCGGGGAAAGGGAGGGGGAACCGAGGTAAAGGGAACAAATAAAACTAAATAGACTGCGGAGACAGCTGGTCCGCTGGAGTTTTACCCCACGAGAGACGCGACGACGAACAACAAGCCCATATGACGCACGCACGCACGCACGCACGCACGCACGCACGCACGCAACCGTCCTACATCGCTCGTACACATGCACGACACCCCGTATACCCTCGTGTCCTTTCCTATCGCGCTATAGTCCGACGTTCCGACGACGCCACACGGTGATACCGACCATCGCAAAAATTCCCCGTGTTTATTCGGTTTAACGATCTCTTGTGGAGACTTTCTGCCGATCCTCGAACGACGCACTCCTTTCAGCCTGATACGCGGCAGCGCCTCTGGCGGTAGAAATCGTTAATCGATTTTCTCTAGAGTCACACGAAACTTTCGATCGTCATACCCGCCATATTTATCTTATTCCGTGGTTCATCGATACAAATATACGTTTACGGAATAGTTGGAGCGTTCCAAAAAATCAGACGATTCGGATTACATACTTGGTGTATATGGGGTGTGTCTCGAGGAACTGGGTTAGGTTATGACTCTTAATGACGGCAGAAGATGGAAAAGAATTTCATTAGACAAACTCAACAAATGGCATTTTTATACACTCTCGGATGCCTCGCTTTGCCCTCCACAGAAGAATATCAGCAGCTTCAAACCTATTTAGTAAAAATCAAAAACGAACTTAAAAACAAAAATTTCAAATCGTTCTGAAAAAATTATTTTTGATCGCGGGGGTCGATTACAATCATTTTTGGTGAATAGACATATCCTCGAAATCCTACGCACTTTCGAGAGAACAAAATTCAGCAAGTGCCTAAATTTTTTGGCGAAAAAAAAGAAATTTTAGATCGAAATACCGCGCACTTTCGGGAAAAGAATTCTTTACCGAAAATATAATGTGTACCCTTAAAAAACTTACCCGTTACCGCGTTGAACCCAGATCTAGTTCAGACTATTGTCTTCGGCTCTGGACACTCACGACCCTCTCCCCTCTGACATACTTAAAGGTCAATGATATCGACGAGATCCTCGACACTGTAAATAATGAATAACATCTCATGTACAGAGAGTTCTTGAACGATACAAGATAGAAACAAATTTCGTTCCAAGAACAACCTTGGTTTCTTTAAACGGATACATATTTTTATTTACTCTGTGGCGGCCAAGGCACCACATACGCCTTAGCCGTTCGAAGCCGCTACAATGTATGGTTGCACACGAGACGATGGTTGCACACGAGACGACCAGAGCCGCGTGAGCCGAAAAGCCGTTGTCGTCGTCTCTGACCGTCTTTTGTTTTTGAAGGCCTCTTGGTACGGTGGCGATGATCGTACCAGAGAGTCGAGCGTAACCCGCACCACGAGTCACGTCGTTGTACGACAGCAACAATAAAATTGTGCGGAACGGAACAGAGCGGAGTCATTATCTTCCCGATCCCACATTGGTGACCCCGACGTGATCTCGCCGCGCAAGTAAAGTTTTTTTAAGAAAATTTGGACATTTTTTGTATACGGACAATATTAGTTAGTGTAGAGAAATAAGTGTATAGTGTTAAGAACATAAGGAAAGGACACGGTCTGACAAATAGTAGGCGCGGTGTGTGTGTGCGGTGAAATTAATCTTTTGTGACCAAGACTGGTAAAATGACTGACCCTACCGTTAACGCGGGACATCCGGGAGTGTGCCGTTGGCAGTTGATCGCGTCGCTGTACGGATACCCGAGTTTTGTCCGGGAGACCCGGAGATGTGGTTTTCAATGGTAGAGAGAAGTTTTGAGGTATCCAATGTAACGTCGGAGACCACGAAATTCGGGTACATTCTCGGCGCGTTAAGTGCGCGACACGCCGCGGAAGTAAGAGACATTATCATGAATCCTCCGGCCACGGATCCGTACACGACGCTCAAAAATGAGTTTATTCGCCGGCTTAGTGCTTCGCAGGAACAGAAAACGCGACGGTTATTGGAACACGAGGAAATCGGGGACAGAAAACCGTCCCAATTTCTTCGTCACCTGCGCGGATTGGCCGGTACGGCTTTTTCGGACGGTGTATTGCGGACGCTTTGGATGGGCCGACTACCTGCTAATATGCAGGTGATTTTATCCACGCAGCGGGACACCCCGCTGGATAAGGTAGCAGAGTTGGCAGACGCTGTCGCGGATACGATGACACCGCGGGTACACGTCACGGAGGCCGCGATTACGAGCGTATCTGCATCCTGCCAAATACCCCCGCCGGGCCCGAGCATCGAGGCCATGTTAAACATTAAGATGTCACAATTGGCTCTTTCCTTGAGGCAGGAAATTTCTGCCATCCGTGAATCCTTGGTGGACCAGGGGCAATCTTCCCGTCGCAGGTGGACCCACCGAAATCATCCAAACTCGCGCTACCGCAGACGATCTCTATCGCGATCGCGAGAGCGGCCCGCGGGAGGACAAATGGACCATCAAGGGAAATGCTGGTACCATTGGCGGTTCGGTCCGGCCGCGCAGAGGTGCGTTGCACCGTGCAATTGGAACGCCACGGATCAGGGAAACGACCTGGGGAGTCGTTGATGGCGGCCAGCGACACAAATCCAGCATCACGCCGCCTCTTCATCTTAGACAACAGCTCGAAGACGGAATTTTTAGTGGATACCGGGGCCGATTTGTGCGTTTTTCCGCGCCGCCTGCTAGGCGGATTGCGAGAAAGATCGGAGTACCAGCTGGCGGCGGCGAATGGGAGTGTAATTAACACCTACGGGACAGTGTCGTTAAACCTGCACCTCGGCCTACGACGGGATTTCGTGTGGCGATTCGTGGTTGCGGATGTTACAAAACCCATAATCGGGGTAGACTTTCTCGATCACTTCGATCTTATGGTGGACATCCGCAATCGTCGCCTCGTCGATCGGACCACGTCGTTAACGGTCCGCGGAACACGAGCCGAGGATGAAACGCCGTCGGTGAAGACAGTAGCAGGGACTACCGTTTACCACCAGCTCCTGATGCAGATGCCGGAACTTACACGGCCTAGCGGCACCCCGATGAGGACTACGCACCAAACGGTGCATTACATCGAGACAACCCCTGGAGCACCCGTTTCCAGCAAGCCGCGGCGGCTTGCACCGGACCGGCTCAGGGCTGCCCAGAAGGAGTTCGACGCGATGGTGAAGATGGGCATCGCTTGTCCTTCGAAGAGCGCGTGGTCAGCACCCCTTCATATGGTTCCGAAGAAGGGCGAAGAAGCTTGGAGGCCTTGCGGTGACTATAGAGCGTTAAACGCACGGACAATTCCCGACCGATACCCCGTGCGTCACATTGAGGATTTTGCGCAACAACTGAGTGGCAAAAAGGTATTTTCCACAATAGATCTCGTCCGAGCTTATAATCAGATTCCGGTTGCGTCGGAAGACGTCGGAAAAACGGCCATTACAACGCCGTTTGGGCTTTTTGAATTCCCGTACATGTCGTTCGGGTTACGAAATGCCGCGCAAACATTTCAGCGCTTTATCGACGAAATTTTACGCGGTTTCGATTTTTGTTACGCGTATATAGACGACATTTTGGTCGCCTCAGAATCCCAAGCCGATCACCTGCGCCATTTAGAATTATTATTTAAACGATTAAAAGATTATGGCATTGTTGTTAATCCGAATAAATGCACGTTCGGACAGGAAGAAGTTAAATTTCTAGGCTATCGGGTAAATGAAAGCGGCACTCAACCTTTGCCCGGCAAGGTACAAGCCATAAAGTCATTTCCCCTTCCGAAAAACGCGAAGGATTTGAGGCAGTACTTGGGAATGCTTAATTTTTACCGCCGTTTTATCCCAGATGCCGCTCGCTTTCAAGCACCCTTGAACGACCTTCTAGCCGGCAATTTAAAGGGCAAGACCTCGATAGCCTGGACTTCGGAAGCGCGTCAGGCTTTCGAAAATACCAAAAATAGTTTAGCAAACGCAACCCTGCTTTCTCATCCTGCGGTCAACGCTCCATTGTCGGTTACCTGCGATGCTTCTGATTACACCGTAGGAGCTGTTTTACATCAGTGCGTCGGCAACGAACGACAACCATTAGCATTCTTTTCTAAGAAATTAGGATCTGCCGAAAAGAAGTATTCAGCTTACGACCGGGAACTACTTTCTATCTATTTAGCAATAAAACATTTCAAACATATGCTCGAAGGCAGACATTTCACGATTTTTACAGACCATAAACCCATAACTTTCGCTTTCAAACAGAAATTAGATAAATGCTCTCCTCGACAATTCCGATACCTAGATTACATTGCGCAATTCTCTACAGATATTCAACATATTTCCGGTAAAGACAACGTCGTTGCCGATGCACTGTCCAGAGTGGAAACGGTTAACCACTCGATTAATTTCGAAGAATTGGCAAAATCGCAAGCCCAGGATGAGGAGTTGCAGCGGTTGTTGAATAGCGAATCTAGCCTGCAATTACGCAAAGTCTCGTTGCCTGGCACGTCTTCCGAAATTTTTTGCGATATTTCGACTAAGAATGTAAGACCTTATGTCACCCCTCCTTTCCGACGCGCAGTTTTTAATATGTTACATGTATTATCACATCCAGGTATTAACGCGACGATCAAGCTCATAACGCAACGTTATGTTTGGCCGTCGATTAAAAGAGATGTTCGCACGTGGACACGTTGCTGTATACCGTGCCAAAGATCAAAAATTTCCCGTCATGTGACTGCACCATTGGCTACATTTGTTAAACCTTCTGCGCGATTCGAACACATTCATTTAGACATAGTAATTTTACCGGTGTCCGAAGGTTTCAGGTATTGTCTGACCTGTGTAGACAGATATACGCGGTGGCCGGAAGCCTTCCCCATGGTCGATCAGGAGGCCCAAACCGTAGCTCGAACCTTTTATGACGGTTGGGTAGCGCGGTTTGGTGCTCCCGTACGGATTACCACCGATCAGGGTAGGCAGTTCGAATCCAAATTATTTTTTGCGCTGAACAATTTAATTGGATCCACACGCCTTCGCACAACGGCGTATCACCCAGCGGCCAATGGGATGGTAGAGCGTTTTCACCGACAGCTCAAGTCGGCTATAAGGTGCCACGGATCCGACAGGTGGACAGAAATACTTCCGACGGTTCTACTCGGTATTCGTTCCGCCTGGAAAGAAGACCTCGGCGCTACCTCAGCGGAATTAGTTTATGGCGAGCCATTAAGATTACCGGGAGAGTTCTTGTCTTCGCATTCAGCGGAAGGCACAGAAAATGCTTCCGATTTTACTAATAGACTACGCAACCATTTTTCTAAATTGAGTCCCTCTAATGCATCACGCCATTCCGTTAATCGTACATTCGTTTTCAAAGATCTTAGCAGTTCAACACATGTTTTCATCCGAACAGATTCAGCCAAAACTATTTTACAACCCGCTTATGAAGGTCCATACGCCGTAGTGCGCCGAGGCGAAAAAACATTTACAATAAACATTAGAGGTAAGGAAATAAATATATCAATTGAAAGGCTAAAGCCTGCTTATATGCTAGCAGAAAACAGACCGGATCCCGTGAGCATAGAAAATCAGCCGGTCACACAAACAAACGTACCTGACAATGCGCCGGTTATACAGCAACGTGTCACGCGTTCAGGTAGACGCGTACGTTTTCCCGAGCGATTTCAAATTACGCGGTAGTACTTAAGGCTTGCGCATTATTATAATAAGTATCATATACCATTTATTTTTATCCATCACTTTTATGTACTTTCATGTATTTTTAGGTATTACGTATTATATATTAAACTCCATGTAAATTCCTTTTTTTTTCAACTCTGTTCAAATACTGTAATGTAAATCTTAGTTAGGATAACGTATTTTATATAGTAGAGTAAATGGTAGTGGTAATGTAGTCGGTCAATTTTTCGTAATTGTGCCAATTACTGGCAGGGGGGTAGTGTGGCGGCCAAGGCACCACATACGCCTTAGCCGTTCGAAGCCGCTACAATGTATGGTTGCACACGAGACGATGGTTGCACACGAGACGACCAGAGCCGCGTGAGCCGAAAAGCCGTTGT